CGACTAAACCTGCCCGAAGGATCGCCGTCGAATTACCCCTGTATCCCCATTGGACGAAGAGCTTGATTCGCGTCTCCACTCGCCCGCAGCAGCGCCCGCCGTTCATGGAACATAGCGGGCGCGCCGCCCATGGGGGCCTCCGCGCGCGTCGGGGCAACTGCCCATGCCGCGTATGAAAGTCCGCCCACGCCTGGTGCTGAGCGGACCCCAGCCATCCTGCTCGCTGTCTTGACAATCGGCCCGAGGTTCGGCGGCGCTAGATTCGCGGGGGGGCGAGAGGGCATGCGGCGCTGGATGCGGGAGGTGGCCGCCGAGATGGCCGCGTCGCGCGCGGCGAAGACAGGGCCCAGTGGCGGGCGAGGGCCCGCAGCTGGGACAGCTGGTCGAAATGGGCCACATCGCCTTCGCGCACCCCGTCGAAGAGCGAGCCGCTGGCCGAAGGGGGCGACGCTCCGCTGCAGCAGCTTGTCCTTCAAAGCCCTTCTTCCCCCGCGTCTCGCCCGCGGCTGCCCGCGCGCGGGAGATGCCCTGCTCGGCGGCGCGAATGTGGATTAGAGGCCTCCTGGATGGGGTCGGAGTAGATGGGGTCGGAGGATCGCGCCGCATCGCCAATGCATCGACGACGCATCGGCGATGCATCGGCGATGCACGGGCGATGCATCGGCAACGTCGGCGATGCATCGGCGACGTCGACGCGAGGCAAATCGGGCTGCACATCGAGCCGCATCGGCAATGAATCGGCGATGCGGCCCGATCCTCCGACCCCATCTACTCCGACCCCATCTAGGAGGCCTAGATGGATGCGCCCCGACCAGCTCGGGAAGATCCCGGGCGAGACGAGGTGATCTGGGCGCCTTCGGCTTTGATGCGCGCCGCGTCCGAAGGCGCTAAACTTTTCTCCGCGCGAGCCCCCGGTCGCTGCGCCAGATCGCGCGGGCGGCCCCTCGCGCGAGGATTAATTTGGAGGGCAGGCAATCCTCGCAAATCGCGACCGCGCGCCTGGGAACGGCCCTCCCCGCCTCGGTCGCGGAGCCGCTGAAGCCGCAGTGGGGGTGGGCGGGCTTGTGGCGAGGGTCTTTCCGCCTTGATGAGCTTCTCCAGCGTCGGCGCGCAATCGGCTCTCTTGCAGACGCGGCGCGGGAAAGGGGAGTTGTTTGCGCGGCCGGCGAGACTGAAGACTAACGCGAAGGCTGCCATGGTCGGGGACGCCCGCGTCATGGAGTTGCTCGGGCGACTTGACCACCTCGCCTTTGACGCTCAACTGGTCGAGCGTCCATGCTGGCGCGGCAATCCAGATTCGGCCCAAGGAAGAAGATCGACCAGTGTCTTTGCAGCAGTGGGTCGGGTCATCCGACGCCAGCTCCGCCAGCTTGTCCAGAACTTGCTTCCACTCAGCTACATGGGGTTTGCCGTCGTTGTGCATGGCGCGCAGCGGTCGCGCGACGGCCCCCCCCCCCCCCCCCAGGCCCAGGTGGAAGCTGCAAAGTGCACGTCCCCAACTTGGCCCCGCAGGATATCGGCGCGGGAGCGCCGATGCACGGAGCGCATCCGCCGCGCGGAGAGGTCGCGGTCACGGGCGCTGCAGCGCCGCAATTCGCAATCGTCGACGGCCGCTCGAACGAAGGGCTCGCCCTCGAACCAATGCCACTCCAGTGGCAGAAGCCCGCGCCGCCGCCGGAAGAGGGCGAGCCGTCGCCGCGCCCCCCCCCGCCAATCCGCGCGCCCGGGGAAGAGCGAGCGAAGCGCCGCGGCGTGCGGGGCAAGCCTCTTGATGACGGACCCGAGTTGCAGCTGGGCCCGGCGGACTTCATGGATGGCGTGGAACGCGCTGGAAGCGCCCATGGAACACGCACAGTCGGCCTTCTCGGGCGCCACGCGGCCCCTTCCACTGGGGCAGCGCCAGCGCGTTCCACGCGCCGAAGTTGAGCGCGGCCGTCGTCGGGCGCGGCGTCGACGAGCCAAGGTAGATTTCATGCTGAAGAACAAGGAACCGATCAAAGGCTCCACTTTAGTTGGGCGTACAGGCAGACGGTGGAATGGGTGAGGTCGTAAATCTGGTCGCTCTTGTAGTTCTTTTCGTCGAGCCCTTTCTGGTTCCCGAAGCCTGCAGTTCGGGTCGCTGCCGGGGCGCGGCTGGAGTCGCCGTGGCGGCGCCCAGCCCTCCGAGACCCACGCGTTGCTTCTGTCGAAAAAGAACTTGCCGCATGGTCAGGTGTCGCGCAGGCAGGCAACCTTCCGCTGCCCTGGTATCTCCATTCTGAACTGACACGAGGACTTGCCAGGGCCCACGTGTAGTTGCGTCGAGGGGCCTTCCGCCGAAGGCACGCAGAACCTGGCCCAGCCGTCCTTGCATCGAAGCGCTCGGAGGGGGTGCCAGACCTGCCGCGTAGCGATACCCGCAGCGCCAGTGAATTGCACCGTGAACAGGTTGGCCCGAGACGGCCCGAGACTCGGACCCTACGCGGCCGGCGCCAGAAAGGTCCGCGCCTTCGGGCCAGGCGTCGAAGGAGGCGATGGCCGCATCGCAACCCACTAGCGCACGAGCGCCGAGGCCGTGACCTTGAGGATGGTGGCGTGGGTGTCGTGCCTGAAGGAGCGGTCCGATGGCTTCGGCTGACGTGGTATTCTGCTCGCAAGGGCCAGCTCCTTCCGCAGCTCGCCCATCTGGACTTGCATGTCAGAGAGCCGCTTGCTGCGTTCTTCGAGGAGCCCGTCGTGACGCTCCAGCTTTTCTCCCACATTGTCGATCTTCTCTTGGGGGCGCAGCTCCAGGTCGCCGAAGTCAGGGCAAACCTTGGAAGGAAGCGGCCGTGGCGGCTTGACCAGGGGCAGCTTGGCCTGCTTCAGCCAGGCGTCGCACGGCATCTCCACTTGGGTTGACGGCGGCCTTGATGATTGCGCCAGCCGTGGAGGTGAAGCTGGCTTGGACCTCCTCCTTGCGGAGGTTGATCTGCTCCTTGAACTGGATGCGGACGAGCTCACGAACGCGTGCGTCGTACCAGTTCTCCTGGGCGAGGTCATCGGAACCGTCGGCATCGCCGCCGATCCCTCTGCCAGAGCGGCACCTTGCTTCTGCATCATCAGCGCCAGAGGAGCAGGAAGAGCAGCGCTGCCATCGCCAGTGGGCTTCTTCTTCTTGTTGCCAACACACCATTCTTGGACTTGCGGGCTGCGTCTGGCATGGTCCTCTCGCCACAGCATAGCATCGGCTCCGGTGGGAGTGCCGACCACTGCGCAGGCAACCCCGGGATCAGAAGCGTCCCCGACAGAGGTGTCATTGGACGGAAGCTGGCCGCGCACGAGCGGTATCCACTCGACTCTCCCGAGAGTCATGCATCTTCAAACGAGGCGGCTTCGGAAGGAGGAGGAAAAAGGGGAAGGAGGAGGAGGAGGAGGAGGAGGAGGAGGAGGAGGAGGAGGAGGAGGAGGAGGAGGGGGGGAGGAAAAGGAGGGGGAGAGGGAGGAGGAGGAGAAGGAGGAGGAGGAGGAGGAGGAGGAGGAGGAGGAGGAGGAGGTGCGCCGAGTAAGCACGCGCACGACGGCGCCCGTTGAGACCGTAGGCCCTTGGAGGATTGGGCAGTTTCCCCGGGGCCAGCTGTTGATCACGAGTCGTTTTTGACGGTCCCTGGCCTGGTGAGCGCCTTCATGCAGAAGCCAGACAGACAAAAACCACTCGAAAAAAACAACCCCCTCCGCAGCTGGATGCAGCGCAAGGAGGCCCCAGCTTATCGGGCACGAAGCGCGTGAGGAGTGTGCCGAAACAGGCGTTGCGGCCACATGCATGGGCACGACGCGTGTGAGGGATGATTCGAAACTAGCGCGGCGGCCACATGCGAGTGTACCCACTGGGGCCGTAGGCAGCACGCAACACTCCCTAACGGGGCACGAAGCGTAAGGGTTGTGCCAAAACGGAACTGGCTGCCTGATGCGAGCGTCCCCACAGGGGCCGTAGCTGGGGTTCCCCTTGGGCCACGAAGCGTGTGAGTGCTTTGCCCAAACGGGCGCGGCTGCCATATGGAAGCGTTCCCGCCAGGACCGCAGCTGGCGCTCCTCTGGGGGGCGTGCACGACGCGCGTAAGGGGTGCTCGAAAACGCGTGCGGCCGGCTGACACTCCTCAACTGTGACCGAATCTTTTTCGGACCATAGCACCATCCTTAAGATACCGTGCGCAGGCGCGAGTACTTATATGCCATGAGCCGCATTGCCCTCGCGTGAGGCAACCTAACGGACTAGCTTCGCAAGCCACGCTAATTGCAACTGCGTGGAAGGCTGTGTTGGCCGTGCTCCAATAAACAAAAAACGGCGTTTCGTCCGGCCTGCCAACTCAAACAAAAAAAACAGCATCCGGATCAGCAGCCCGGAGTCGACCCAGAGAGCGAGGCGGCCGAACACGGTTCGGCCACAGTGCCATAGCTGCGCCTCCTGCTGCCGCCAGCGATTCCGCTCACCCCCATCCCCCAACCCCCGATACATATTGGTACACGCTCCACCGCCTACACACGCCGTCACTCGTCCTTCGCGATGTGCACCTCGTGGCGCGTCGAAGAGCTTGACGCCTGGTCGGACTGATCATCAGTCGGGGCCGAATCCGCCAGGTGGATGCAGCTCAACTCGAGCCCAATTGCCTGCTGCTCATGTTCGGCAGAGGCTCTGCTGGAGATCGCGACGGAAATGGCCGCATCCAGCACAGGCTTAAGGTCGACTTCTGGCTGGAGCTGGATGTCTTGCACGGGCCGCTGCACGTCCGCCACTGTCGCCCTGCTGACGACCGCGTCCAGCACGGGCTGAAGGTCCACATCTGCTTGAAGATCGAGTTCCCGCACCGCCTTCTGCACGTCAGCAGCTGTGGCCCTGCTGGAGATCGCATCCAACACGGACTGCAAATCGACGCCTGCACTCCCAGTCGCAAGTACTGCCTGGAAGTCCCGCAGCGCCTGCTGCACATCTGCAGCTGTAGCCCTGCTCGAGATCGCATCCAGCACAGACCTCAAGTCACCTC